AAACCAATCTGAGTCATCTTCTACGAAAACCGGGGACAGAAACGTTGAAGATCTTATGTTCTTGAACGTTGAAGATCTTAAGTTGTTGCATGTTGCTTTTCCACTGCTAGCTGCTATATTTGCATTGTCTGTTGGGTCTGGCCTCTGCAAACCAGTTTTAATAAAATCAAGATAGGACACAGTTTCTAGAATGACTTCAATTACCAACTTTATCTTTGCACATTTAACCAAAATCTAAAGGTCAGACATATATGTATGTATGAACATATTATGTTTGTGTATGCGTATGTATACAGATAAATACACACTCTTCACAAAGACTAAACTGGCACATTATTTTGGACATGTGATGTGGAAAAGTTCAGAAGCACCAACTTTACAAAAACTCAGTTTACTTTTCATGATGAAATGACCCAGGTAGACAAAAGAAAAAGGGGAAAACAAACACACCAAAAAAAGCTGCAGAGTACTTTGGTTAGTCAATTTCTAAGCTCAAGCATATCTTAGAGCACTGGGTGCAGTATAACTTCCAAGAGACAAGAGAGCACCAGTAAAGTTGCTGCAGAAGCAACCATCATATAACCTTGAACCAACAGCCTCGTGTAAGGCAATGCACTCAGGACAACTGAAACACTGCAACAGCTCCTGAAACCTAGAAAGGGTGATTCATCCTTAAGAGCAAAAAACTTGCATATTTTTACCCTAAAGCTAAAGAGCCATGTTCATCCTTAAAATAACACAACAGCTTTGATAATATTAATATGTTACCAAGTTGTCTTCTGTAAGCAAAATTTTAATACAGAAAGGCAGCTGATGATGTTAAAATGGGCACACATTTTTACTGTTTCTTTTGCTTGCCTGTTCATTGAGTGACACAGGAAAGAATTATAAAACTCTGCAGCTGCCCAAGAGGCAATATAAAGCCTTTTGCTATAAGGTGCTACTGACACTGTATGCCAAATTCACAATCAATAAACACTGGGCTGCTAGAATAGCTTAGCACTCATCTCCCAGTCACTTGGGACTCTGGTGAACAGAAGTTAATTCATCTCAAAGTTTTGCGAGAATCCAGTTATGTATTTCCCCAAGAAAAAGTTGTTACACTGACTAGTTACTATGTTTCAACATAACATGCTATTTTTAGATCTCTATTTAGATATTTTTTTTTCCTCCTCTTTGGAATATATGCCTCAACTGTCTAAACGCAGTTGAAATGCAGCTTTCAAGGTGAAGTCTTAGATGCAGCATAATATCAAAAGCATCATTTACTCTGAAAATAGAGTAAGCAATACAGTCTAAATTGTTGAGGGAATCATACCCTGTTTTGTGCTAAGAGTAGGCAATAAGCTCCTCCGATACAGAGAAGATTTGGGTTTCTTTAACATAACCCCAGTGAAGCACCACTAAAGCTTGTCAGCAACCATAAAAAGTGTTACAATTTGTGCAATTAGTTCAATAGAGTGCTCAACTATAAGAATATTTATGTAAAGAGTATCCTTGTTTCTCTCCTGCCCCAAAATGACAAAAAGGTTGGAAGATTACTATTCTAGCAGTGCTATTGTGCACTCCTGTAGTTTAAAACAGAGGGAGCAGCCTAAAAGATGTTCTATTCAGTCAAGAACACATTACTAAGAAATAAGCAAGTATGCAAGCTACTCAAATTGCAAAAAAACAGGTATCCAATGGAAAAACAAAACTTTGATCTAGCTATAAGTAAAGAAATGCTAGCAGAACTGAGCCTGTAACCAATTCAGTTAAATTAACATTAATCTACATTAAAACTTTTCAGTGCTTACATTGAGTAGAAAACAATGTTGAAATTACTTAGTGGAATGACTGAAGAACAAACTCCGTAATACATAGAAACCTTGCTGCATTTCCTGTATGTATGATCCTTTATAGCTGGAACAGCCCTAAGACATTGTGAGATCTGAAAAATGAATGTTCCTTGAGACCTATGTTTTAATTAACAAGCTATCTAAAAATGCTCTTCCAAAAGTGTAATGATTTTAACAGCAAAATCTAATATCACATCACGCTACTGCAGACATTTAGCATCCTCATAAAAACATCATGTTATTAATAGGTACACGTGCAGCAGGGCTGCCTCCACTGTTATGTGTTAGAACAGTTACACGCTGGCACGGGAAAAATAAAATGCAGGAGAATGTACACTGTAGCAGAGCTTGAAAAGAAAGAGCTTAAAGATATATGGGTCACAGCAAGGTCTTCCTCTCTCCTAAGAAGGCTTCTCCTGCTGCTCACTCATGCAGGGAGATGATCATTTTGTGGCTGTGATATTTCCACGGCAACACTGGTGACAGTGATGTCACAAATTCAGCCCTGACATAGCTTCAGGATCAAGTACAAGGAGCAGATGGGATGCGAGGAGAAAGGCCCTATTTAAACACAAATCTCTTTCATAAGAAAGAAAGAGGCATGAGCAAAGAAACAGGTGAATGGATCACGTTTTCAAGTATGATATATTCAAAAGATTATCCTAGCATGAAAATCTATTTAAAGGCAAGACCTACAATACAGGGTAACTGTCAAATTTGTTAGGCCTTATAGTAAACCAACCTTGAAAGCTCCCTGTTTAGCATGACAAGCCTTGTGCTCCATTTCTAAAGTGGCAGTGAAGACAATACACTTTTGTCCCTTGTGAATTTCCTTTAAATAACTTCAATATTCAGATATATTAATTTGATACATCATTGTGCTCACAATACCGTATGTAAATATGATGTCAAGCCCTCACCAGAGTGAGTGTGTTGTCTGAATGAGATGTAATATGAAAGAAAATAAAATTAATCCCCAATCAGTTGCCAAGTACAGCAGGATGGTAACTGGAATATTCAGTCAGCACAACTGGATTGGTAAAAAGGGCCTGTAATTTTGTGCTGTGGACTCATGCAAGAATTAATACAACCTCCAGGCTGGCTCAAACACCCCCAAACCTGGTCACACCTCGCTGGTCACACGCCACAGACTCCAACATGCTGCTGCTACCAGACCTCCTTTCTGCCTTTGACCACCCCATGAATGAACAGCAACTGACCCCATGCAAGGTAGCAAGGATGACAGCAAAAAGTGGAATGAAAGAGGATACATCCACAAGACAGTCTCCACATTAACTCAGGTCACAACTCAAGGAGCTACTCAGATTTGTTAAAGATGCTACTCTCCACAGAGGATAACTGATGAACAGCGTGAAACATCCACCGAGGGAGGCAGGGGAAGTGCCTATGACCAGAATTCAGGTGTAGGTGGTCATTCACAGAGCTGCAGGTAACAAGAAGTGGTTTCTTATGGCACCAGAGGCAAAAGTATGCAAAACAAAAATCAGAAGTCAAAAGAAAGAGAAAAGGAACTAAGAAGATACACATCCATGTTCTAATGACAGAAGAAAAAAACTGAAGTTTTCAAGGTCTCAAGATGAAGATCTGAAAGGATTATCAACAGTCTGACACTCAGGAGGGAAAGAAATAAAGAAAGAAAAGGAATAAAATCTGCAGGCTGAAGCTGGGCCCAAGCCAAGATGTAAACAGGCCTCCAGGAAGGGGTGTTAGGTGGAGGCAGAGACCACATGTACAATGTGAGGAACAGATCAAAAGGCAAGTAAATAGCTAAGCAGGGTTCACGGACATCATCTATGAAATTACTAAGGTAAAAACTGAAAAAAGAAGAACGGAAGGTAAGACATGCCATGATATCAACCACAACAATGACTAGAGAGTTAGGAAAGCCCATCTGATTCTCCAAGCTATGAGTATACCAGCAGCAAATCAAAAAAGCAGGCAATAAACCAAAGGATGCCCTCTGGTCGCACACAAAAAAATAAATAAATGGAAATACCCAAGGACTGCACCAAGACCTAGATGTTACTCCACAATGAAATTAACAATCTTGTGAAATGGAGAAAAAAGAAAAGATAAAAAGCAGAAGAAGTTGAGATATCAATAACAGATAACATATAATAAAACAGGTAGAGAAAATCCTGTTGGGATTGTCAAGAAAAGATCTAAAGTACTACAATTCTTTCTCTTCAACAAATATGGTTTTGAAACATATTAGGTACCTACCTATGATGTCACTAACCAAAATGTTGCCTGAAATTTAAAAAAGTCATAGTTTTGGGCTATAAACTTCTGCAGGCTTCTACCTTGTTAGAGTAGTTATCTCTGGAAATAGCATCTGTTAGCACAGTACGATAAGAAATATACTGTATTTTAAGATGTAGCTTATTGGTTTTACTATTGTGACTAAAACACAGCTGCCACAGACTAACCTAACTACAACACAATCCCAACAACATGACTTCTCTCCCTGTGTCTCTGTAAGGTCAACAACCTCAGATGAGACCATGAACCAAGGTCCCCCAATGGACTTTCTAGAGGTCACTTTAATTTCAGCACTGGAAATCCCATCTTCTTTTTACCCAACAGGAAGAAAGGCTCTCAGATAATTCTTGAACATGTCTTGAGACATGAAATTGATGGCTAATATAAACTCAAGTCAGCACTCATTGCTGTTTGCATCATGTATCAAACTAAAGCAGCTACCAAACATGATCTAGAAACTCTCCTTCTGTTGTTCAGAAAACAAGTTATTTTTCCCCTATCACACTGATCAAAACTAATATTCCACCAGTAAACAGAAGTCACTTGTTGTGCTAAAATTAAATGTTCTAAAAAATCAACATTTTCAAACTTCAGTACTGCAGAAGATGTATTTCTAGTCCAAACTTTGCAAGTATTTCTCTCAGAACAAAAATATTTTTACAATAGCCAAAATGAAAATATAACAATAAAAACCCAGGACAGCCATAAACTAATACATTAACAGATTTTAAAAGGCAATAAAATAACCACAGTCACTTTCTAATCCAATCCCAATCCAACAACAATTCAAAACATATAATTAAACTAGAACAGAAAACAAACAAATTTTTTCCCACCTCTCATTTCTATAAATAAATACTAACAGACATGGTATATTACCTTCAATTTCAGATGCCTGGCATTTTACTTTCAGTACCAAATCAAAGGTACGTTCTGGATTTTCCCTAGAAGAAGCAAACAATTGGTTAATCACATATTTGTTCCAGACAGTATTTCAATTGTGCTGTATCTTTTCCGTTCTGCTTGTACGGAATAAAATTAAAATTTCATTATAATAAAATTAGAAATCAGATTAGTTCTAAAGAACAACCAAAAAGTCACACTTCCCTTTACAGCCTTAAAAAAGAAGGAGGAAGATAAACAAACTAAACTGTATGATTTCAGTGATACTGCCACTGCATTACACACCAAATAGCTATTAAGTCACACTTAACAGCTGGAAAAGAAGTGCTACTAAAATCCTTCTTAAACAATCAATCTGAAACACATTAATGGAATCACAGGCAGCCTTTTCTAAAGCTACATTTTATTTCTACTTAAGAAAAATATCTCATCATTAAACTTCCATTTTAATTCTACAAATTTAGCCACTACCCTTTAAATGCCTATGATTACCACCATAAGGCTGAGAATCACTTAGCTTCATCTTTCACAGGATACTGATCATTGACTTTAAAGGCTGAACCTCAGGCATGATTCAGGGAATGAGAACCTCAATGCAATAACTAGGGAGAGACACAATCTCAAGCTAGTTGGGATGATGGAACCGCCATATCTGCTCATCATGGTCAGCTCTGGATGCTGGCCAGTGCCTCTTATACCTCCTCAGCAAATGACACACCTGATAATCATGAACTGTATATGCTAATTACAACTAATGCTCAACCTAATCCCAAAGTAAGTATTTATTAAAACAATTCTAAATGTAATTCCTATACCACCCATTTCTCTCTACCTTTTACATACATAAACAGCACACTGCTATTAATATTTTTTTAAAAGTGGTATAACTGCACCCATATAAATTATCTATTTAACCACATAAAAAGCTCACCCTTGAACTCCCTTCTTGGGTAATGCTCCCACTGAAGTCAGCTGGGGTTTTAAGCCAATAAAAATACCTGAGACTTGGTTCCAGGTTTCTAGAATGCTTCAAATAAAGCATACAGAAAACTAACACCCTATTGCTTCTTTAAAGAAAATTTTGAATGAAATCCAAAGGCTGAGCTGGGGAAAAATTCAGCTGTCACAAATTAATTGATTCAGTACATGCTTCCACTGACCTCAGCACCATCATCAACTGAGATACACAATTATAGTCTAGTTCAGGCTATGGAATCATAACATGCCTGTATCAGTCTTTCCTTGCATTGTATTTTAAAAGCATTTAGCTGGAAAAATCCCCTATCTACTGATCCCGTGTGTAGTAGGATATCAAATTCTGCTCTGAGTTACAACAGCCTAAATCCAGGATATTGGAGATTTACTCTGGTATTACAGTCCATCCATTGTTCCTCTGGCTGGCAAGTGGGTTCAGAATGAAACTGATAAGGGTTGGCTTCATTGAGCCACACAGAAAAGCAAATCACGAAAATCCTGCCTTTAAGAGAAGTGACATCTCCCTATGACATTGCTCTAGCTCAGGCATTGAGTACAGACTCTCTGGCTATTCTCCCCTTCTTCTTTCTAACCAGGCCACACAACGCTGGGTTTTTAATGTGAATTGATTCAAGTGTTACAAACACCAGATGTGTTTCTTCTAGCCCAACTCCTAGCTGAATTATCCTCAAGAAGCTCTTTGAAATAACATTGCCTTCCATCTTTCACTATACCAATCTAAATTTGCTTTTGCAGAAAAATGCTTCTAAGTTTACTCTTCACATCCCACTACGCTTAGAAGTGTCAAAAATGTGTCAAACTAATTTGAGAATTGTCAGACTGTCTCTCATTTCCTTTACAACCACTCCCTGGCAGCCTGCTTATTCACGGTATATTTACAGAGAGATTTTTGTCGATTTCTGAAACTGGTGTTTAGCATCTTGTCAGTTCCCAATGTCAGCAAGACCAAGCCTCCCGATGGGAAAGGCTGGACAGCACTGCTTCCAAACACCTAAAAATCTCTTTTGCACTTGCCACACCATAACGACAAAAAGAAGGTTTGTAATTACTGGCGGGATTAATGCCTCAGCCCTTACCCCAGCAGCTGCTGCAGGCCGGGTCACTGCCCGGGCCTGAGCGGGCCGGGCCCG